GGCAGTGAGGAGAGGACAGCGGCGGCGATCTGCGGAGGAGAGAGCAGCGGTCGGCGAGGAGAGGGCAGCGGCTCGGCTCGCGGTCGCCGGGATTCGGTTGCGGTCGGAGCTCGAGGTCGCCGGAGTTTGGAGCTGCGAGAGTTCGGAGCACAGATCAATCGGAGTTCGGAGCATAGATTGGTGAAGAAGAGAAGAGAAATGAGGGTTTCGGTGTTTTCAGTCACCGTTTTTTATTTTTTATATTTAACATAAAACGGATTCTGAGAATCCGTTTTAATTGTTGAAAAGTCAACACGGATTCTGAGAATCCGTTTTAATTGTTGCAAAGTACACACGGATTCTGAGAATCCGTGTATATAAAAAAATTAATTGTTGACCGAGATTGTACTAATTTGGCTTCAATTGGACTAATTCGAGTTCGATTACATTATAATTAACCGAGATTGTACTAATTTGACTTCAATTGGACTAATTCGAGTTCGATTACACTATAATTGACCGAGATTGTACTAATTTGACTTCAATTGGACTATTTCGAGTTCGATTACACTATAATTGACCGAGATTGTACTAATTTGACTTCAATTGGACTAATTCGAGTTCGATTACACTATAATTGACCGAAATTGCACTAATTTGACTTCAATTGGACTAATTCCAGTTCGATTACACTATAATTGACCGAGATTGTACTAATTTGACTTCAATAGGACTAATTCGAGTTCGATTACACTATAATTGACCGAGATTGTACTAATTTGACTTCAATAGGACTAATTCGAGTTCGATTACACTATAATTGACCGAGATTGTACTAATTTGACTTCAATTGGACTAATTCGAGTTCGATTACACTATAATTGACCGACATTGTGCTAATTTGACTTCAATTGGACTAATTCGAGTTCGATTACACTATAATTGACCGAGATTTTGCTAATTTGACTTCAATTGGACTAATTCGAGTTATATTACACTATAATTGACCGAGATTGTACTAATTTGACTTCAATTGGACTAATTCCAGTTCGGTTACACTATAATTGACC